CTCAACACCTCTCCTGAACTCTGCATTTGCATTCCTGCTGCTCTCCATGAAAACATGAGCATGGCCAAAGCCTCTGCCATGCTTTGTGTGAGTGAGAGGTGAGGATCTGGCTCCTATTCACTCACTTCCCACTGCTTTTGTCAGTGTAGAGCAGTGTGAAAACCTCCCAAGAGGGTGTCAAAAGTGCTCCAGAAACAGAGCAGGATCAGCAACTACACACCCTCCTGCAGTAGAGAATACAAAGATGGCAGGTTCAAGAAAATTATGATTTCTTAGACTTTGTACCTGTGAGACACAACTGGGTGCTAGCTCCAATCTGGGGCTTCCCAAAAGAATATAGATATATACATGTATGTATATATGTACACATACATATGTCAGAGAAAACTAGTTTTAAGAAGATAAGGCAGAGGGGAAAAACCAACAAGGTGGCACACAGAAAACACAGCCCAACTCTTCCCAGCAAAGCACTTGGAAGAACAAGAGGTAACAGGGACAACCTGCCCCAGTGGAAATATTTACTGAGCATAAGGAGAAATTAATTCTGTGCAAGACTGGTGTAGCTGTGGTGTGGTTCTGGGACAGAGTTGACACCTCCATCCTCAGGGGCATTCCAAATCCAGTGGGACAGGGCTCTGAGCTACCTGGTCTAGCTTTGCTACCAGCCCTGCATGGAACTGGGGTTGGACCATGGGCTTCCCAAGCCCTTTCCAGTCTGAAATTTACCTGACCCTCCAATGTGCATTGTGCAAAAGCAATGTGGTGATTTTAAGATTCACTTGTAAGATGGCCAACACCAATCCACTGCCCAAGCTCTTCCACAGAGCTGATGCCAGAGCTGCCTTACATCCCCTGCTGACTTCACAAGTTTTGGTACCACAGAAGAACTGGAGGAGCTGAGTATTGGAGAAAGCAAATGCCTGTGGAAAAAATGTGCAGGTTTAATGGCAGGCTCTAACAGAAGCCTGAGTGCCAAATGACAAGTCTGTGATAGTCTGCTCTGGGATGGGGTTACTTACAGTCACAGTCAGAGGGTTGTTCTGGGTTAGAGTCTGACAAGCAGCTCCTGTGGTTGTGCCTTACTCTGTCCTGCAGAAGCAGAAGTTTAGGCACATGTATTCGTGGTTTGGCCCACTCCTTGTGTTTTTCCACTGAAGCACTTCAGTATTTTTAGGCTGAAAGAGACGACTCTCTGCTACAGTGGAGGGATCAGAGCAGTCCTATGCAGGCAGGACACTCTAAGGTGAAATACAGAGAGTGAAGTACAAGAATAAAAACTGGCAAGGAGCCACCATCCCTGCTCACAACAAGGCCGGGGTTGAGGGTGGGAAGAAGGGGCTCCCAGCTGCTGGCATGGAGAGCCTGCACACATGTTAGCTGCTAGGCTCAGATATCTGAATGAGAGAGCAGCAACCAGCCCCAGCATTTCCTGAAGCTGTCTGCTTTCCCTCCTCTGAGGACCTGAAGGCTGCAGACCCACCTCTTCCAGGAAACAACCTGGCCCACACAGCCTGGTGCACTGCCAAGGCAATTGTGGCTGCAGGCAATGCTGGCACTCGGATCCAGCACGCAGAGCACAGCTCAGCCAGCAGCGTTGTTGGTGGGATACAAGGCAGATGGGGAATGTCACAAGGAACAAGAGCTTTCACAGGGGCCAGTGCAAAGTTAACAGGGCTAGAAGCTACATTTGACCCTGCCAAAAAGGACCAGGGGTTGATGGTGGATGCCAGATTCAATACAAGCCAAACATCTACCTTGTGAATCAAGTAAACCACATTTACTTTCCTTCAGGAAAAGTGGAGACCGTGAGATCTAGGGAAGAGCAAATGCAAAGATGCAAGGAGGCTCCTGTGACCCAGAATACCCTGAAACAGATCTCTTTAAAACATATTTTTGGCAAGGAGAGAGGACGTGGGAAGATGTGGGCCCTCAGCATGCTGGTGGCTGTGAAGCCACAGCTCAGGGCAGAAGGATCTGGTCTCTCACTGGCTGCTCCCTCTGCACAGCCTAAGATGGCTGCAGGCAAGCATCTCGTTGGAAAGAATTTCACATTTTCCACAAACTTTATGGAAAGCAGGAAATCCAGTTAGGCACATCAAGAGAGGGGGTGTTGGGGCCTCAAGTAGAGAAGAATACAGAGGCACAGGGATATTGGTGCCTGCAAAGGAGAACCAAACCAGGATGGGCAGAGGTTCCCTGACAATACAGACCAGACCACAACATCTGCTCCAACTCCAGTTTATTGAACATTACAAAATACTCTGCATATATTTTCACATTATAACAATATCCTTGCAAATAATATATTAAGTCTTGAGTCATTTGTGGTGCCCATGGCTACAGAAAACACTGACCCAACTAGAGATTTAGTATGGCCCAATATCAGAAATCAAAACTAGAATAAGTCATACCAGAAATGCAAAACTATATAAAAATCTTTTAAAAACCTCATGCTCAACTAGTGGAACAGGTACAGAGCTGAAGGGCCTCTGCTGAGCCCTGCTGACAGGGCTGGGGGTCCCACCAGCTCACCTGCTCCACACTGGGCTCACCCACCCAGTGCATCCAAGTGTCCCCTTGGCACCTGCTGTCTCAGCACACCCATAGAGCTGGGAAAGGCAGGATTTCATCTGCTTTGGAGCATTAAAAGTCCAAGTCCCCATTTTTCCCAAAGAGGAACAACCTCTAACCCTCCTGCTCTGCCAGTGCCCAGCCATTGTGCTCTTTTGTGTGCTGAGCAGTTCCTGGGGAGCAATTCTTGGCCCTTGGGGTCACATCAGAAATAATTCATCGTGTGGGCCACCAGCTGCCACCATCCTCTGAGGAGGGAACAGGGGTGGCTGGGATGCAAGTGTTGGGGACAGACCTTTGAAGATGCATGCTGCTCACACCCCCCATCTCCCCTGTTCCTGATGTACATTCATACCTGCTGCTCGCTCCACTCCTTGCACCATGGCCAGTCCTCCCAGCTGATGCACCCCAGGCAATAGGAAGGACTGAGACATTGGCTGAATGAACACCAAGGATGCTGTGCAGGGCAGCTGCCTCCCAGTAAAGGCAGAAAGCTGAACACTGCAGCTGCTGGGAACACATCCAGGCGATGGCGTGAGGCTGGCACAGCAGGTTGGCTGTTAGAGGAGTCCCTGTGCGTTCACTAGTCCAGCTCCTGCTGGAGCCAAACCCCAGGAGCGCTGCTCCCAGTCCTGAGAAAGTCATGGCCTTGCCTCTGTGGTGCCTCCATAACCCAGGGAACACAGGGCTGTTGTGGCAAGGAGCTTATCTCTGAGCTCCTGGCTGAGCTCCATGCATGCCGTGAGGAACCAGCACTGTGGCCACCTTGAAGTCAATGGCTCAGTCACTGGGTGTGGGTGGGCTCTTGGGCACCAGAACTGCTCTCAGCCCTTTTCCCAGAGGTCTCCAACTCACAGTCAAGCTGGAGATCAGCTCATACTCTTACACCTGTGAGCAGCCACAGCCCATTTGCCAGCAACCACCACCTCAGGGCAGCACAGCCATGAGAGGATCAAGTCTGTTTGGGATCCCAGCCCTGGGAGAAACATCTCTTACCTCCCAGCTGCTGTAGGGACCAGAGAGGAAGAATGAGGTTTGGGATCTGTGCCTCCCTGGGTGGACAGGGGCTGGTACCTGCTGCCGCAGCACAAAGACCAATTATTGACCAGGTTTGCATCAGTAGGTGCATGGGCAAAGCACACCTGGAGTACAGCTCCAGGAGGAGTTCTGGGTTCTCCTGCCACTCCTGGAGTTTATGGAGGCACACAAAAGCTTTGCAATGCGAGACAGAGCAGTCAGCAGGTCATAGCCTGTCTGCAGCTCTCAGCCCCTTCCCAATCCACAGATTGGGTGTCTCAGAGGTGGCTTGCTCTGTTGAACATCAGCCACCTGGGCTCTGCAGTGGGTGGCATCCTGCCCTGCTCCTCTGTGGCCATCAAAGGCTGCAGCTCCTGCTGCTCAGGACCATCTGGGCTGCTGTCACTCTGTGACCTGCCACTCTTGGACACGTGGCTGGGGAACTGGAAGCAGGAGCTCTGCTCTGGCATCACCTGGCTGGCAGACTGGGGTTGCTCCTCCAGCACAGGGCAGGCAAATCTCCTGTGCTGAGGTCCGCTCTCGATGCCTGGGGGGGAAGCGATGCTCTCCAGGGAGGAGATGCTTTGGTTCCACGCCTTCTGCATATCCACTGGCACAATTTTGGTGGTCTCCGAGGAGACATAAACAGCCAGATCAGCCTGGTCTCCTTTCCATGGCAGCTCCTTCTCTGCCAAGGTTGGCGATGGAGGGATGATGCAGGGGCTGGGGCAGACATCCAGGCTGCCTGGAGATGCAGATGGAGGGACAGTGAGAGGGAGCTTGCACAGCTCTCAGTCTCTCCTTGGACCCTGCAAACATTGCAGAACCAACCACTACTAAATGGCCATAGAATCCTAGAATATCCTGAGTTGGAAGGGACCCACAAGGATTATGGAGTCCAATTCCTTTCCCTGTGCAGCACAACCCCAAGAATCACACTATGTGCTGGCCCAGGGATGCAGGACACAGGGAGGCTCTGCCATGCCCCCAGAGGACAGTGATTCTCCCATCCATGCTCTGTTGACTGGTTTTGCCCAGGCCAAGGCAGCTTTGCTCCACAGGCAGAGGTAGAACAAGCTACCCAATGGCAGCTGCCCCAGCATGGAGAATTGGTGCCTACCAGGAGTTGTCTTTCCCTGCAGGACCTCATCAGTGGCTCGAGCAATGAACACAATCCCCTCATCGTCCTCTTTCTCCGTCTCTGAGCTATCGCTCTCCTCCTCCTCTGAGCTGACCATCACCAGGACAGGAGCTGCAGGCAGATGGAGGGGGTTGGTTTGCTGCTAGTGCAACCCTGGGTGCTGTCATCCCACTGAGCTGGCAGTGGGCAGGCACAGCAGGTGCTCCCATCCCATGCCACCAGGTCCTCTTGACAGGACCTGCCATCCTCACCTGCCACTGGCCTTACCTGCATCCTGCCAGGGGACATTTCTGTGCGTCTTCCCGTTGGGTGCCTCTTTGGTCAGAGAGATGTTCTTCTGTGAAAGAAGAGGAACTGGCTGGGACCTGCCCTGTGCAAAGCCCTAAACCCAATAGGTGGTCCTGTGAGCCAGCCAACATTGAGCATGCAGATTTCCCACCCTGGCTACATAGCAGATGGTTTCTAGCCCTTAAGTTTTACATCTTCATGGCCCCACAAGGAACTGCTCAGCTGCAATGGCTTCAAAAGACTCCGAACAAGAAGACACATAAGACTCAATTTGAGGTGCAGTGCCACACTTCTGAGCCTGAATCTGCACCAACATTGAGGCTGCTTTATGCTGAGTGCTCTTTTAAAATGAACCTGGGGCTCCTCCACAGCTTTGCTCAGTGAAGAGCCACCCCACAGCACTGATGGCATGCTGGGGACACACAACACCTGCATGCTCATATGCAGCATCAAGAAGACTAAGAAGAGATGAGCCACTTTCCCCTCTGGCTCTGGAGCTGCTGATGCCCTGCAGCACCTCACCTACACCCCAAAAGGATCTCTCTTACTGCATCCTGGGGTGATCAAATCTCAAGCTAGGAAAAGAAGAGGAGCTTGGGGAGGACCTGCCTTTTTCCTGCCTTTTTCCTTCAGCCTGGCCTTGCTCTTGGAGGAGCAGACATTGTGCTTTGTGGACTTGAAGGTCTCCAGACGCCTCTTCATGTTCTGCCGGAAGATTTCTTTATCTTGGCGCTCTTGTTTATCTGGAGAGATGAAGTGACGGCTGTAGCTGGCCTTGTACTGGCCGAGGGAGAGGCAAAGAGACACAGGGTGAGCAGCTGGCCCCACAGAGCATCGTCCATCCCTGCTCCTCCTGCAGGTGCTGCTCCCCTCGGGGTCAGCGCACGCCACGGCCCGGGACTGCTCACCCGCCGCCGGGGCTTGTAGAGGCTCCCTCGCAGCACGTGGTGCATGGCAGCGTCCTCCTTGTCCCGCCGGCTCCGCACCGTGTCGATCACCTGCAGGTCCAGGCACGCGCCGCTCCCGCTCTCCCTCCTGCCGGGAGATGGAGATGGACGGGCTGGGCTCCATGCCCACATTGTGCCCTGCCCTGGTGCAAGCCACCCCCAGGGAACAGGGCAGCTGTGACGTCCAAGGAGGTCATTCCAGGAGCTCAGAGGGATGGGTGTACTCACAGGAGGTTTGTGACTGATGATTCTGACATGGACGTGCGGCTGGGCATGGAGGGCAGCGCCAGCTTGGCGGCCGAGAGCACGTGGCCACCCTGGGAGGTGAGAGGACAAGGCTGGCATCAGGACAGCAAGGACCCAGCTGGGATGGGCAGGTCCCCACTGCCCAGCCAGAGGGTGCACATGTGGCCATACATGAGGGGAACCTCTCCTGCCAGGGCCATCCTGGACACCGCTACAGCTGGTACCTGATCGACAAAGCTGATAGCATCACGGATGTTCAGCTTGTAGTAAACATCCCAGATCTCATCCCGCAGCCTGTAGGCAGATTTCCGCATCAGGAGCTGGCTCAGGTATTTCTTGTCAAACTGCTCCCACCTGCCATGAGATGAAGACACGGGCAGTTTAGCTCCTATAGGGTACCACGGCAAGGGATACCTACCCACACAAGGCTGAGTGTCCCAAGTATGGCGAAGGGAGGCTGGGCACGCAGGACCTGGCTGTGCACACGGTCAGGGGGAGCAGGAGGGGAGGGGACATGGTCACCCTTCAGCCTGCCCAAGGGGAAGCCAGACACCACCGGGTCTTTGAGAGGCAGTGGGAGTAGGATAGGGGCCACCCTGCTGGAGCACTTCCCCTGCAGGAAACAGGCTTTTTGCATCCTTTTCCTGTCCTTGTGCTGCAGATAAACACTGCCTAGGCAGGAACAGGGCTGTTCCCTCCTCAGTGCCCTGTGCAGTTCCATCCATGAGGAGGCAGAGAGCCATTGCCACCAACATGGACACCCCAAGTTCTGACCTTGGCGAGCAATACCAGCTCCACAGCATCCCCAGCCACACCTGCCTGACCTCTCTCTGCCAGATGGTACCTATCCAGACTCATGGACAGACATACAAGCTTCCTGGTCCTGCTGCCCTGCCCACAGCAGGGGTGTCCTCCTGTGAGAACCCCAAAACGTCCCTGTGGCTGGCATGTGTCTCCCATTCACTAAGAGTCAGCAGAGGATCCTGTCTAAGACACTCACTTGTCCCGCCAGTAGTGGTAGCCATGGTGCCCCACGATGTCCTCCACTGCTGCCAGAATGTGGTCAAAGGCCTTGAGTGAGGGGAAGAGGGTGAGTGGTGACAAGGCTGTGGGTGCCCTGGGGATGCCAAGGTCATACATGGCCCTTGCCCAGCCCCACACGTGAGGGGAGCCAGGCAGCCGCTGGCACTATCACCTACGTGCTCATGCAGCTCCTCGTTCAGCGTGGGTTTGTGGTGATCACTGCGCTTCACCTTCAGCCACGTCACCAGGGGTTTGATGGTGAGGCCCTAGAATGGCAGGAGAAGGCAAGGGAAAGACTGGGAGGGCGAGAGGGTGCATGGCTGGGGCATGGGGAGCAGAAGCAGCACGAAGTGACTGGGGACAGTGGCTGTGGCAGCCATGCATGCCCCTACCAACCTGACCTCTGTGCCATGGTGCACACCCCCAGTCACCCTTCCCCTAGACTCATATTCATCCTCCCTGTGGCTTCCCTTCCCAGGGTGCTGAATGCCAGAGCTGGGGCCCATCAGCAGCTTTGTAAAGAGAGCAGCTTGGACAAGCATGCACTCCTGGAGCTCCTGGAGCCAGTCCCAGAACAAAATGCCAGTGGGAAAAGAACGTGGGCCATGGCCCAACCATCATAACAGTCCCCATTGCAGTTCTGCACACCTGCTGATGGATGGGGTGCCAGAAAGCATTGAGGACCAAAGGTCACTTGAAAAAATATACTTTCCCAAAGCACATGTCCCCAGGCCAGTTCTGGGGCAAGAAATCGGCACTGGAGGGGGGCACAGCGCCCATCCTCACCTGCACAATGACAGTGAAGAACACCACCACGATGGTCGTTGCCACAAAGTAGTCCTTGGCTTTCACCTTTTCCCTGTCCAGCAAGATGACCAGGGCGAAGGCCACGGCCCCACGGAGGCCACCATAGGACATGACCACCTGGTCAATCCTGTCCAGGGGGATGAGGCGGAAGCGGTTGAGCACAAATGTCTGGAGAACAACACCTGGGGAAGAAGGAGGAGAGCCTGGAATGCTGTGAGAACCCTGCCTGCTCCAGGAGACAGCACAAACTCCCAGCCAGGATCCATGGTTGGACTTGTGCCCCAACCTTTCCTGGGCAATATCCCTTTTTGGCATGAAAAGGGCTGTGTGCTACTGGCCACATACACAGCAGGACAGACTGACCCACAGCTCTGAAGAGCAGGATAAAGAACAGGGTGCCCAGCACCAGTGCTGTGTCCCATGTCCACTTGGAGGTATCCACAGCCGAGATGCCCAGAAACATGAAGATGATGGTCTCTGAGCTGCTGGCCAGTGTCTTCATGGTGTACTTGACTGTGGTGCGGGATTTCTGGGATATGTTGGCTTCCACGTACTTCTTGCAGCAGATCCCACAGAAGGTGACTCTGCAGAGGGGCAGAAGGAGCTGGCATGGCCCTACGGCGGGATGAGGAGTGGGTCTACTCACTGCCTCTTGCTGCTCAGCAGTGCAACCCCAATTTCCTGGGTTCCCCTGGGGGACACCCCGGTACTCACGCCAGGATGGCAGAGAGTGAGACCATCTCAGCAGCCAGGTACGCGACGTAGGCCAGGAGGAAGACGAAGAGCGGCTCGATGATGCGCACGCGCTTGGTGAACCGCGTGATCAGCGCCAGCAGGAAGGCAAAGAGCAGCCCCACGGCTGTGCCCCCCAGGCTCACCAGGAAGAAGGAGGCTGGTGGGAGGAGGAGTCTCATTTGAATCATGAGCAAGTGAGCCCAGCTCCTGTGCCCCACAGCCATGCCATGGTGGGCTGGCCAAGAGCCATGTTCACACCCAGGTCCCCTCCAAAGCATCCCATGAAGCACAAAGCTTTGGATGATCCCAAAGCATCCCCTGGAGCACCTCTGCTGTGGGTACTGGCTGATAGAGTTGGGGTTGTTCAGCCTGGAGAAGACTCTGGGGAAACCTCAGAAGCCCTTCCAGTACGTAAAGGATACTCCAAAAGAGCTGGAGAGGGGCTTTTGACATTGACATGGCGTGACAGGACAAGGGGGAATGGCTTCAAACTGACAGAGGGCAGGATTAGATTGGGTATTAGGGAAAAAAGTCATCCCTGTGAGGGTGGTGAGGCCCTGGCACAGACTGGATGTGCCATCCCTGGAAGTGTTCAAGACCTGAGCAACCTGGTCTAGTGGAAGGTGTCCCTGCCCATGGCACAGGGGATTGGAACAAGATGGTCTTTAAGGTCCCTTCCGGCCCAAACAATTCTGCAGTTCTGTGCTGATGGCTGGCATGTGACACATGGAGATGACAGAGCTGAGGTGCTCAGTGCCCACCCTACAGGAGAGTGGCTCCTGTGCTTGCCCTGCTCCACTTCCACAATAGAGGAAGATGTAGAGGGGCTGGTGTGGCAATTACTCACCTACCCCCTTCATGTAGTCTGTGGCGTGGATGTGCGCTGGGCCCAGCTCCACAAAAGAGTTGAAGACCTTGTACAGCACCTGCAGGCAAGGCAAATCCCTTGAGAAATGCAGGACAGGAAGGATCCTGTGGAAGAGGCATCTTCCACCCCAAACCTGTCAGGTAACAGCTCATTTCAGCAGGTACAGTCTCCCATGGCCAGGAGAGAAGAAAGGCTAAGAGAGAATGGCATGGGTCTGCCCCCAGCTCACGGATGTCACCTGCATCCTCTGCTCATCCTGGGGAATTCCAGAACCTTGGACCATGTAGGGCTCAACATTAGAGTCCCCCAAGCTGCAACTCACCACAGTGACAGCATCATTCAGGAGAGACTCGCCAAACACAATGATGAAGAGGGTCTCATTAACGTGGACCTCTTCAAAGACAGCCAGGACTGCCACAGGGTCCACAGCTGAAATCAGGCTGCCAAAGAGCAGGAAATCCATCAGCCCAGCTTCAACACCTGGATCTGTTAGGAAAGAAGGACCAAGGTCAGGCAAACCAGCCACCCCAGCGCCCCTCTCACCAGGCAGAAACAAGCCTGTCCCTCATCTGATCCCAGTGACTTGACTTCAGCATCTCAACTGGGAATGCAGTGGGATGAGCCCAAAAGTGTTCCCACACCTCTGAGATGCCCCTAGAAAAGTGGGACTCAGTGCATTCTTGCTGCAACATGAAAGGAGCATGAGGGACGTCCCTGTTAGCACCCAGGTGCATCACTGCTCCTCCAGGAGGTACCACTAAATGTGGCTCGGTAGCCCCACCTCAGGTCCAGGCATCGAGTGGCTCCTCAGGGCTCAGGAGAGCCCAAAACACAGCCCAGGCCAGCCAGTGGCTCCAGCCAAGGACAGGGAACACGGCAGCAAGCCAGCAAAGCTAGCCAAGGTCAGCAGACAAAAATAGCAAAGACATGAGTCAGCTCAGTGCCAAGCAGGGCTCGTCTGTCCTGCACACTTGACCGTCCTGCCGGAGCACCATTCCCAGGATGTCAGGACCCTGCTCGGGCTGTAATTCCTAGGAATCCACAGCAGGGAGAGGCAGTGGGCTGTGAAACCGAGGGCGCTTTGCACCTCCAACCTATTTGTCAGGGATGTGGTCCAAGCTGGGCAGCCCTGCACACCCACCCATGAGCCCGGCCCGGTGCAGTCCCCAGAGCGCGGTGCCGGTGGCAAAGGAGTTCCAGAGCGTGCCCACCACGGCGTAGGTGAGGATGGCACCAATGTTGTCAAAGAACAGCCGGCTGGGCATGAAGTACCCCGAGTCCAGGACAATTGGGGGCAGAAGGAAGAGGAAGAACATGTTGGGCTCCAGCTGGTACTCAGCTTTCTTTGCCACGGCCAACACGATGCCCCCCAGGCCCAGGCCCAGCAGGATGAGCAGGCAGCTCTCCGGGACAACAGATGTCACTTTCCTCGACAGGTGGAAAACTAGAAAAAGAAGATGAATGAAAGCATTAGCCAAACAGGCACATGGACAGAGTATCCCAAATCCACAGGCTTCACAGAAGGGATGGGTGATATATGATGGATAGGAGGAGAACAAGGGAGCACCTATGGAAAGGCTGCTTCATGGCTACATGTGCACAAAAGACCTTCCAGCTACCTGCCAGGTCAGGATTTCAGGTCCCTGACTCTTTAGGATTTCCCTCTCCCTCTCACTGTCTAATAAGCCAATCAGTCAGGCATTTTACTTTTCTTGGCTTCTGGTATCTGCACTTAAAGGTTTAAAGCAGGCAGCGAGCACGTTCACAGTGTCACGAGCACTGCTGGCTGCTGTTCAAGTGAAGAAATCCTGGTACACCAGGACATGTTACCCCACTCAGAGACAAGGATGCTCAGCCCTGGTGCCAGGGTGACCTTGTTTGCATCTGTCTGAGCAAGCAGCCAGAGCAGCATGCAAACCACTGCAGCACAAGCCATGCCCCAGCACAATCTCCCTCAGCGCCAGCTAACCTACCTGCATGCAAAAACACAGGCACTGAGGAGCTGCAGATTTAGAGATGCTTGGAATAATCACTTTATTCCATGCAAGGTTTGGGCCAAATCTTAAGCTGCCATGAAACAGGATGTATTTTCTAAAGCAAGCAGAGGATGCCCTGGTATTCATCCATCAGTAATGTGGCAGTGAGCCTGTGCTCAGGCACAAGCCAGCAGGATGCCACACCAGCCAGCACAGGGAATTCATTCCTCCAGGCACCCTTGTCCCCCACGTCAGGGTGTGCTGTGTAATCCCAAATCAGTCCAGCTTCCAGGCAGGCAACCCCCCGGGGGTTTCCTCCTTCCTAGCACAAGGTGCTGTATTTTTGCTGCCCCTCCAAAAGGGCATTGCTTGGGGAAAGGCTGTTGAGGGTCACAGTGATTTTGTCCCCCCATCACTGAGTTCTGCCATCACTTGTGACATCCAGACCAGCTCTATCACATGAATTAAATCTCCTGGGGAGTGGGTTCCTCCAAGCACTTTGAGAGCCACCTCTTTGTACACCCAGCAGGTACAAGACACACCAGGGGAGGCTCTGAGCCATTACTTGTCTGCAAGCTCAGCCCTGCTGCCAACCCCAAAACCCAGTCCCTAAAGCCCTTTAGCTGGACTAAAGCTACCCATTGCTTGTGCCAAGCTACCCCTCCAGAAGGAAAGTTGTGCTATAGTCATGCACCAACCCTGGGTCACTCAGCTGCTTCCCTCCTTGGAACCCCAATGGACAGCCCATAATATCTGCCTAGCCCAGGGTGCTGTCTCCAGTGGTGTAGACCTGGAGAGGAGCCCAGAAGCAGGCAGTACTTCGTCAGTTGGTTTCCATGTCTCTGTGCCCTTATCATATTCCTCTGAACCTGTCCTGGTCCTGCTCTATCTTTCTGGGAGAGAAGTGCCCCTGAGATGTGGACAGCCAGAGAACTGAGGTTGTGGCCTCCTGATGTTCTTCTTTTTTCCTGTCCCAGCACCTCTTAGGTGATTTTCTTTCCTTTACCACAGCCGAGCTCTGAATTAGAAGAGATAATTCAATGACAAAAATCTGGTTCACAACCAGAGGCAACACCTTAGAGCCCACCACCCAATGGGCAGGCTAAGGGCCACTTTTCCTTTAGCTGAGGACCTCAAGAAGTTGCTGCTTGGCACAGTAAGCCCCACCCATGCCCCAGCACTGGCTCTCTGCCATAATACAGCAGGAGCACTGCTGCAGCTGGCAGGGGCAGAGCAGTGAGCACAGGGGCAGCATGATCTGCAGCTCCACCACCAAGCACCTCAATAGGAAAGAGCACCCAGGCCAAGCCTCTGCCTTAGCTCTGCCACTGAACACCCCAGCCACAGAGCCTGGGGCAGCCCCCTCAGCCCCAGCCACCTCTGCTCACTGCTATGGGCTGCAATACAGCCCTGGAGGCTGTGGTGATATGGACGCTACAGCCCTCCAAGCAGCCCCACAGCCAGAGGAGAAGCTGGCTGGGCTTCATCCAGGCCAAATTCCTGTTAAATGACCACACAAGTCACTGCAGAGCCCTGTTCACCCCACACAAGCTGCCTTCACCGCTGGACGAATGGTGCTCACTCAGCGCCTGCAGCAGGCTGTGAAGCCGCTTCCCACCCACGGGAACAAAGCTCTGAAGTTTTCAAGAAGGGAACGAGGCGTCCAGCCCCTTTCTGCATTCTCAGGAACATTGCCAAGATCCCTGTTCTCTGCTTTGCCAACCCATCTGCATTTCCCATGCTGTGGAGCTATGTCCTGGCTGGCTGGAGGGACCCAGGAGAGCGTGCAGGGATGCTGTGAGGACGTGGGTCCTGGCTGTCATCCACCATGGAAGTGTTCAAGGCCAGGTGGGATGGGGCTTTGAGCAACCTGGTCTAGTGGAAGGTGTCTCTGTCCATGGAAGGGCAGTTGGAAAAAGATAATCTCTCAAGTTCCTTCCAACTCAAACCACTCTATGGTTTTATGATTGTTTTCATCAAGCCAGAAACGTGGTCAAATAAAGGAGAAGAATCAATGGGAAGGATCATGCTTGCCCAAAAATCCCCTAGCTGGTGGGAAAAGCTGCCCCCCTCCCCAGGAAATGGCAGCACACAGCTCTCTGTGTCACAGAGAGCAGCCAGTGGGGACAGACAGAACAAGCTCTAATTTTATACACACTAGTCAAGGATTTCAGCACTAAAGGTTCCCACAGCAACAGTAACTTAGCCACATGTGAATTAACTTCAGAGACATAATCCATACTCAGGCATCCATAATAAAGGATTTGCCATTGAGATAACTCAGAAACCTGCTCTGTTCCTGCAGAGCAGAAATAGCAGAACACCTAAACCAAGACATGAGCAGCTGGAGACAGAGGCCATGGTGCGAGGAAAGATGCTTGCAACCCATGGCAATGCTGCTGCATAGAAAAACATCTGTCTGCTGGCAAACTCTTACCCGTGGGGCAGCTATGTGAAAGGAGAATGTTTGGGGCAATGCTCATCACTTCTGTGTTCCCCACATCCTGTGCTCTGACTGTGGATGGAAAAGGCAGCAAGGCCCGGATGATGCCTCGCTGTGCAGGAAGGCAACACCCAAGCCAGTTTTTCCCTGCCCCGGGTGTTTGTTGGCTTGGGTCACCCCAGCATCGTGACTGCCTCTGAGAACAGAGCCCACAGTGTCATTTCCCCATCACCCAGGCGTGGGGCCGCTTCCTCCCCTGCAGTCACAGGGCTGTGAGCTGGCAGCCCAGCGCCACAACCACAACGGATCCTCATGCCAGCCTATGCCCAGTGCCCACGGCTGACACAGCTGGCGCTGCCCTCTCCACTCCCCAAAATCCTTCACCTCTGCTTCATCTCCTCTGTGGACTCCTGTGCACCCTGGGGACTGCACATGCCATCTCTGGGGACACCCATGGCAGGGTGCTGCCTCCAGGTCTGGGTGTCGCTATTGGCTCCAGGCTCTGAGTATCCATTGGACCCACCGGATCCACTACTGGCACCTCGAAGCCATCAGCCATCAGGGTTGTGTCTCACAGACAGAAAACAAGAGTGGCCATCAGCCTCAGGCCTGGAAGAATGTGGCAGATCTGGGGGTTTGGGAATGATCCCAGCTCAGGCCCCCCTGCACCCACCCGCACAAAATCCAGGATGGCTGAGGGCAGCATGTCAATGGAAACCTGCACAGGAGCAGCTCCGGGGAGAGGTCGGAGAGAAGAAAACAGCCAGGGAAGGGAATTTTCTCTCTGATCTTCTGCAGGTAGGAGGGACGCACTCGGCAGCTGGAGGTGGCACAGCTACAGCAGAGTGTTGTATTTTTAAACTCATGATACCTTTTAATGCATTCCTCGCGAGGCTTTAGGTCTATCTTGCGAGAAGGTAAGGAAGGAGAGGAACGGAAGATCCACAAGGATGCCTGGGACAGGAAGAGGCCAGCTGGTGGTCTCAGCTGTAGCTGTCCCCTGTGTAATGAGTGCTGCTGCACATCCCTGGCTGATCAGAGATTCTCCTGCCTAACTCTGAACCCACATTTCTTGATCCAACTTGAAACTACGAGGGTGTCTGTGCCCCCACCACAGGGGCTGTGCCCACAGTGGGAGAAAATCTGGCTCAAGGTCATAATCTCATCCCCTGGGCCCAGCACAGCAGGCAGGGGCACTGAGGGGAACCAGCCCTCTGGGTATCCCTGCTTACCACCCATGCACGGGTGTCCCCTCCCCAGCACTCTGGATGCTGGTGGGGAGCCCAGCCCTGCACAGCTCACACACATCCTCATTGTGCCTTCCCACGCAGCCTCTCACAGCAGAGCCTCCCCCGGCTGCGTGGTCCTGTGCCGAGGAGCACAAGAATCCAAGGCTAATCTAGAGTGACCCACCGGAGGAGACTGCAGGCACCTGCCAACCCCAGGCTGCTGGGGGCACGTCCTGCCTGGCACTGCCACCACCGAGCCTTTCCCCGGGGCTGTGGGGGAACAATGGCTTCCTGACCTGCCAATGGCAGGTGCTGTGCCAGCCTTTGGGAATGCGGGACATCCTTTGGGGCTGCTCTTCTCATGAACCATCCATCCTCTGTGCCCACCCATCTATCCATCCATCCCTCGCAGGAAAAAACAGCCCGGGCCCCCACCTTTTCCTTCGGGTGGTACCTTCACCCCGTCGCCGCACATCATCCCACGGCAGGGCACGGAGGACGTGGGGTGGTCCCCGACCTCCGCAACCCAGCTGAGAGTGGTGACCAGACGGATTTGTCCCCATGACCCGTGTCCCGGCGTGAGGTGACACCCCTCGTCCTGGGTGCCCCTGCGCCCGCCGGTGATGCCGCATCCCCCCTGCCTGCCCGGGGGTGGGCACGGCTGCTCCCGGGGCACCGGAGCGGGTGGGGACATGGGGACACTCACCGATCTTGGCTAGGCTGGCTACCAGGATCCAGGCGGCCACCAGGCAGGGCGCCTGCACCTCCCGCCACTGCCACCGCAGCAGCTCGGCTCCCGCCGGGGCGGCGGGGCCGGGGGAGGCCGCCGGGGGCTGCATGGCCCCGCCGCTCCCGCCGCTCCGCTGCGCCGCGGTCCCGGTGCCGGTGCCGGTGCCGGTGCCGGCCCCCGCCCGCGTCACGCGCACGTGGGGATGCGCCGGGACGGCCCCCGAGCCCCGCCCCGCCCGGCACCGGCCCGCCCCGGAGCTCGGCACCCCCGGTACCGCCCCAGGCCTTAGCGCCTGCCCCGGACCCCAGCGCCCCCCTACTTACCTCTTGCATACCCCCCTCCATCCCAGCTCATCCGCACCCTCCCGGAGCCCCCTGCCCCACGCTAGTCCCCTGTCCCCGTCTCAGTCCTCTCTGCAACTGTCCCGGTGCATCACCCTAGTCCTCCATGCCCTCCCCCCGTGTCTCTGCTTTGCCTGAGTCTCCCCTTAGTCCTCACGCACCCACCAAATTCCCAGTCTTCCTTCACACTCAATCCCCTTCCCAGCTAGTCCCTTCCCAGCTGAAACCATCCACCCCTGCACCAGGTGCTGCCTGAACACCAGCCTGGAACACCAATGGGGGGGCTCCCAAAATTTCTGTCTCCTCTTTACCTCCTCAGCCCCTCTCAGATACTCCTAAAACTTCCTGATTGCTGATTAGGCAATCCTCCATGCCCTGAGAGGTGCCCCATTCCCACACCCTATCCCTGGGGCTCCCAATCCAGGAGATCCAGGACCCCATGTCCTGGGTTGGCAGCAAGCTATGCCCAAGCAGCCCAGGAAGATGGGATGCTAGGCAGAGGGCAAGAAGGGACACTGGTAGAGTGCTCCATGGAGAGCCAGCTCAGACCTGCGTCCACATGTCCCTGGAGGACAGGACAGGACACCTTAGACACAGCAAAACCTCTGGCATGGACACTCAGATGCTGAGTGCCAAGCTGAGCCCACTGGCCAGGTAGGAATGTGCCACAGGACATTTCCCTGTGAGCCTCGGTAGCATCACCTTTTCTCATCTCTCTTCCTTGGTACAAATGTGCTACAAATCTTTGCCAGCAGAAGCCAAAGGCTGGGGAACACAGGCTGGAGGCAGAAGCAAGGGGAAAGCTCCCTGCCCACTGCTCTATCACATCTGATCGTTGTCATTGTCCAGGTAATCTGTCAAAAAGAAAGAAAAATGGGTTTTACACAAGCTTTGCTTTGCAGTTTGAGCTCAGAATGCCCTGCTTACAGGGCAGCACCACAACACCCCTGGATCCAGGAAGTTCATCCTGTGCTGTTTCCCCCCGCCCCAGGATGGAGAGATTGAGCCCAGCTGCCCATCCATGCTCCACGAGCACACCCACCTGGTCCCCTGGAGCAGCCTGGAACTTCATGGGGCCTGGAGCATCCTGGAACATCTCAGTGGTGCCCGACAGGGTCTGGAGCACCCCTGACGCCAGAGCAACCTGGAGTCTGGAGATTCTCGATACTGGGCTACCCTGATGGAGCCCCTCAGAACCCGGAGCATCCCTCTGAGGCCTGGAGCATCCCTGATGCCAGAGCATTCCAGTGGAGCCCCCCAGAGCCCAGAGCAACCGGAGCATCCTTCGGATGCCCACGGGAGGGCGCGCCGAGCGCCGAGCGGCCTCTCCCGAGCCGGGCCGGGCCGGGGGGGCGAAGGGGCCGGGCCGAGCCCGGGCCGCCCTGGCGGTGTCGCACGGGACCGCGGCGGCGGCGGGGCCATGGCGGTGGTGGAGGCGGCGGAGGCGACGGTGCCATGCCGGGTGCAGTACCTGGAGGACGCGGATCCCTTCGCCTTCGGCAGCTTCCCGGAGCCCCGACGAGCTCCGGTTTACGCCGTGGAGGAAGCGCTGGCGCTGGGAGCGCAGCTGCCCGCGCTGCACCGCCTGGTCGGGTGCCCGCTGCCGGTGAGCAGGGACGGCGGCGGCGGGGAAAGCACCGTGCGGGCACCGCGCGGGGGACGGGGTGGGGATTGCTGGCTAGAGGGGACTGGGGGGAGTGGGATCGGACGGTGTGTCCCGGGCAGCGCTCCCGGTGTGAGTCACGGCGGGATTTGTGAGCCCTTGCGGGAGATGCCAGCCTCGCCGGCCCCGAATGAGTCGGCGGGAGGAAGAGGATGTGCTGCTCAGAGCAGGCAGGAACCCCGACAGGGGGAAGCAGGATGGGGACAGGCGTCCATCCCCGTGTCGTCGGGGCTGAGCCGGCAGCATGTTCCCCACCGGCCCCGCACTTCCACGCCGGCAACCAGAAGCGGAGCATACCGGCTCCACGTGGGACCCTTCCAGTGCTCCTGCTTGCTGCGGCACCTGGAACTTCGGGAGGTGATGATGGGGGCCACCAGCCCCTCCAGCCTTCTATCTCACCGGTCCGGCAGCAGCTTTGTCACCAGACAGCAGTACGGAAATTCATGCTGAGCAATTTCCTTCAGCTAGGAGGAAGGCAGGAGGCCCAGTGTAGAGCGAGGCACCGTGTCTTGTTTGTGTGTCCTCAAGTCTGGCTCAGGCTGGGAAGTGGAGAAGATAGGGGAGACGGGGTACCCTCCCTGCGTGTCTCCTGTGGGCGTGATGCTCTCGGAGCATCCTTCTCACGATGGGGACCGGCTTGTTTTCTTCCTTAGGAGCGCGGGACCCAGCAGAGCTTGGCAATAGCTGAGCATCCCCGTCTTGCAGCACTACAGGAGTGCAGGGAAGGGAGGCAGGAACCCCGACTGGCTGGGGGATTTTGGAGTCAGAGCCGGAGCAGAGAGATGGGGCAGCAGGAGGGGGGAAATCAGCTCAGTGTGGCCGACACTGAACTTGCTGACGTTCCAGGGGAGAGGGGATCACTTTGAGACTTTGCCTGTACCAAAACAACCTCTCCCGTTTATTCCCCTTTTCATTTTTCTTGGAGCAAAGAAGCAGCGTCTTATGTCGCTGTCATGGGATTTTTAGGCGGTGACTAAAGGGAGTTTGTTTGGGAACAAACAGCCTGGAGACATGACGAATGGAGCAAACTCAAATTTCAGGCGTGTGCTGTGCTCCCTGGGCAGGAGCTGGCTGTAACGGGATCGCCAGCCCAGAGTGCTGCCATGGTGGCACGGGGCAGTGGGAGGGGGGAGGGCAGACTGGACACTGCGTTCCCGAGGGCGGGAGCGTAGCAAGGAGGTCCTGTGCCCAGCAGAAGTGTGTTGACCCTGGGATTTCAGGCTCTGTTCCCTGCCTAAGCCAAGCTCTGGATAATTTTTTCCTGTAGTTTCCCTGTATTATCCCATGACCCTTGGTGAAACCACAGTTGAACAGCCTGGATCCTGTTCTGGATCTGTAAACCAGATTTCTGGATTATATAGGCTATAAACCATGCTGCCTTTACCACACAATGCTGTCTGAGGCAGCAAGGGCTGCAGAATGTCCCAACTGACAAGCTGGGAGTTGCATGAGCAAATGTGCTCATTGGGAGCCTGCTCCACCGGGGTTTACAGCCCGTGGAGTGAGGTCATCTCCCAAACCACCCAGTTCAGTCGAAATCCAGAGCTGACACCCTTGCAGATGTTGTTCCCCTGGCATGACCAGCCAAAGCCTCCCCTGGTGCCTTTTGTGCCAGGTAACACTCAGCTCCATTAGTCACCGCCCTAAAATTAGTAAATGAACAGTCGGATTTTTCCCAAGGAACTGGCTGTAAAAAAATTCAGCTGGGGATGTCTGGTGCCAGGTTTGTCTTGCTGGGCAGCATGCCTGGACCTGCAGAGCACGGGAAGAGGATGCAGCAGCCAGGAGAGAGCTGGGCTGGGGTACCCTCATCGCTGGAGGAAGATTGATCCACAGGCACCCAGGGGATGAGCTGCCGTGGGAGAGCAGCTGAGCCCTACCTACCTTTGTTGGGCCCAGCTAAGCAGCTCCCTGTGCTGGGAACAGCTTAGAGATGAGCAAGAGGTTTTTCATGCAGGCATCACTGCCTTGTATAGCCTGTCCTGCCCCATGACACCCTTGGTGCTTCCTCTCCCTGAACATGACCTGTCACTGATGACTTTTTCATGCTCTCCGGGAAGTGTGTTTGTGCTTGGAAATACCTTCCTGCTTTGTTTGCTGCTGCTGCATTGTTTGCCTCCAGGCTGATACTATCTTCTCCAGCTTTCCAGCATTTTTCTAGTACCCTTGGGTGATGCTTGGGCAGGGTGTGGACCTGGGTTTTCTGAACGTCTGCAGGCAGGTTTTGACAGGGCAGGTTTTTTTGGCTGTCCTTAAAGTCCCCAAAGGCCCCTTCGCTCTCTTGAGCACTATCTCACCTCTGAATCTGGGGATTTTTCCAAACAATTGCAAAACCCATCAGGCTAGAGTTTTACATTCTCCTTCCTCCCCCGGAAATCTGGGAAGAGCAAACAGCTCGCTGGCCTCAGTGCCATAAACTTGCTGAGAGCACTTGTGCTCAATAGACGTGCTGGTGGGGCAATCTCTGTGTGAGAAGTGTGCAATCCCCATCCCACAGCCCTGTTGCCCTCTGTTTCCTAACAGGCTTGACGAGGGCTTTGGTGAGGGTCTTTGCCCCACTTAAACTCTGGAAGGCACAAAAGCATCGAGGAGGGGTCATCAGTGGCACTGAGTGTTGGTGCTCAGCAGCCCTCAGCACTCCCCAGTTCCCAACACCATCCTTGCATGGATCTTGGGAAGGGAGCTGCAGCCAAGGCTTTCAGGACACCATGGCTTTTATGCCATGGCTTTTCCAGGACACCAACTGCTGCCTGGGACTGAGGTCCTCCCCAATGCCACAGGTCTGTTGATGAGCAACAGGAGATCTGTTAATGAGCAATGAGCCCAGGTGGAGGAGCTTTGAGAGGGAAGCAAGTTTGTTCTTCTGGGCTGTGTGACCTCCAGAGATCCCTCCTGGCTTGGGTGTTATTTCGTGCCCCCATGATAAGGCAGTGGCAGTGTTCTCATCCACTTGCTGCTATCCATCATGCAGGGGTGGAAAAGCATCTGGGTTCCCTGGCAGTGGACACCCCTCTTAGCCTGCAACTAAACTGAGGTGAATGTGCTTGGCTGGGGTTGGGGTTGGTCCTGTGGCTGGCATAGCTCTATAGATCATCAGCCCCTCTG